GCATAGAGGTTAGGAATTGTAACACATAACTTGGAGGGACACAGTTCAATCCATAAAATTCCACCCTTTGGCCCGACAAAATTCCTGTCCTTCCCACATGCAAAACACCCATCACATCATCCCCAAAGTCTTCAATCCACTCCAAGTCTAAAATCTCATCCTCTGAATCATCTAAATCAAATATGGCTGAGACATTAGCCATATTCCATCCTGGGGCAAAATTCCTCTTCATCTGTAAGTCTGTGAAATCCAGAATACAAGTTATCTGTTTCCAAAGTATAGTGGTAGAACAGGTACAAGGTAGACATTTCCATTACAAATGGGAGAAACTGGAGGGAAAGTAGGGATAACAGACACCAAGGAAGTCTAAAACCCAACAGAACAATTTACATTAGCTCTCAAGGCTTGAAAATAGTCCTTTCTTCTCTGAGACCAGGAACCCTGGTGGCACAGTGGTTAAAGTGCTCGGCTGCTAACCGAAAGTCCCTTGGTTCGAAACCGCCAGCTGCCCTGTGGGAGAAAGATGTGGCACTCTGCTTCTGTAGAGATTTACAGCCTTGGAAACCCTGTGGGGCAGTTCTGCCCTATCCTATAGGGTTGCTGTGAGTTGGAGTCAACCAGACGGCAGTGGGTTTGGGTTGGTTTTTTCTCTGAGACCAACTAGGCAGTGGTCCTGCCTTCTAGACTCTGGATGTTGGCCATGCCCTCTGGATTCTAGGTGGAGGCCCCTTGGCCCTGGGCTTCAGCTTCACCTTCCAGGTCCTCTGAGATGGCAACTCTGCCGCCTTTGTTTTAGCCCCATTTTCCTAGTCCATCTGAGTGGCAACCCCACCCCTTTGACCCCAGTAGGCCCCATTCTTCTGCCCTTCAGGCATGACATCCCTGCCCCCTCAGCTTTAGGTGGTGGCCCCATCTCCCTGGCACACTTTAACAGCAGCCCCACACTCTGGAACTGAGTTGGTGAAGATCCTACTCTTTGAAACTTGGAGGCTGTGGCCTTACCCTTTGAGATCCAGGAGACCATGGCCCTATCCTTTGAAACTGAGAAGGCCTTGCTTCCTGTGCTCCTTCCAACAGTTCTACTGATCTCCTAGCTGCTCCAGGAATGGTTCTTTTTTTTTCTTGGAGGACGACACATGTAGCTCCTTTGGCTTGTGTCCTGCCTGTAGAAACCCAAGAGGCAGACAGCGTTCTTTCCTTTCATTCTTTCTCTGTCCCCTTCAGTCTAGGCTGATAGGGTTTCTGCTGTGGTAGTTGGTTAGATCCGTCAGTAACAGGCTTAACCTCTTTAACAAAAGATCGTGTAGCCACTTTCTTGGTGATCCATCTGGGACACGTGTCCTTAATTTGTACAACAGAATTTTCCAAATCTTTTAAGTTCTGTCTTCATTTTGCATAGTTCATTTTTAAGTCCATCTCTTTCCTCTCACATTTTACTATAAGCAGCAAGGAGAAGCCATGTGGCCACTTTAAGATCTTGCTTAGAAATCTCATCAGCCAGATATCCAAGTTCATCACTTACAAGTTCTACCTTCCATTAAACATTTGAACGTAATTCAGACAAGTTCTTTGCCACTGCATAAAAAGCATCACCCTTTCTCCATTGTCCAATCACATGTTCATCATTTTCTTTTAAAGCCTCACCAGAAGCACAGTTAATACCCACATTTCTAGCAACATTCTGTTGCTGGCGCCATATGTATTCTCTAAGACGATAGAGACTTTCTTTATAGCTCTCCTCATTTCCTTCTGAACCCTCACCAGAATTGCCTTTGATATCCATAATTCTACCAACACTCTCTTCAAGGCAATCTAGGTTTTTACTGTTAGGCACCTTAAAACTCTTCCAGCCTCTACTCATTACCCAGTTCCGAAATCGCTTCCACATTTTAGATATCTGTTGGAGCAACACTCCACTCTTCCAGTACCAAATTGTGTCTTAATTATCTATTGCTGCTATAACAGAAGTACCACAAGTGGATGGCTTTAACAAACAAAAACGTATTTTCTCACAGTTTAGGAGTCTGTGAGAATTCTGAGTGCCAGCTGTAGGGTAAGGCTTTCTCTTTCTGTCAGAGTGCCAGCTGTAGGATAAGGCTTTCTCTCTCTGTCGGCTCTGGAGGAAGGTCCTTGTCTCTTCAGCTTCAGCTTCCTGGTTCCTTGGAGATCTCCATGTGTCTTGGCATCTCTCTTACCCATGTCTGCTCCTCTCACTTGCTTGTCTGATCTCTGTATATCTCAAAAGAGATTGACTCAAGGCACACCCTACACTAATCCTGCCTCATTAAAATACAAAGACAACCCATTCCCATAGGGAATTATAACCATAGGCATAGAGGTTAGGAATTACAACACATCTTTTTGGGGGACACAATTTAGTCCATAACAGGCTGTAAATCTGTTGATGGGAAGTAATTTGACAAATAAACCAACTGGGAAAACACATTTGATCTTTTCCAAGTAGGAAAGCATTTGTTTAAAGGTGCATGTGTAAGTCACTGTTTCTATGCAAAAGATTACAAATAAAATCTGTATTACTTGTTAGCTCAAAAGCAGCACGGTCTATGAAAATAACATTTATCTGGACCGTGGACTATTTAGGTCTACATTCCAATTCTGCCTCCATTCCTTGGATGATCTTGGACATGTGTATCAGTTAGGGCTTTTGGTTGCAGGCAGCAGAACTAACTCTTGTAAATTAAACCAAAAAGGCATTTATTGGAAGTAAGCTAGACAGCTCACAGACTCCAAGGGAAGACTGAAGAGCTAGGTTTAGAAAACGAGCTGGATCCAAGGGAGAAACTGTATCAGCAGGGTCCAGGCAGGAGAATGGAAACCACACCAGGTATTAGAACAGAGATTGTTTAATACAAGGAATTAGTCACAAAGAAGGCTAAAAAGTAAAAAGGCAACAATGAAGAAACCAGAACATTATGCAGGCAACAGCTACTGCCTTTAAGACCGGGAAACAAAGGAGAAGAGGTGAGATTACCAGACCCTGGGGCTCTGAGTAGAAGCCAGAGGGCTCGTGTTGGGATCTCGGAAAGGAATGCCACACAGCTCGTGTTTGGATTTAGGGGTTGAGGAGTGGAGACCATGAGGCTGCACTCCAGCCTCTGAGATGCGTGAGGCTGGTTGGGGCCGGGTGGGCTGAACTAAGCTGGAAGCTCTGGCTGCTCCTATTTTTGCTGCTGAAGTGATGCTAGCAGGAGAACAGGAAAAAGTCCCTCTTCTGGCCTTCAGCTGCCTGAATTGCCTCCATTTGCAGAACTGCTAGGAAGTCAGCTGGAAAGGTAGTCTGGGAGATGTTAATATATGGACCCCAGCACCACAGAGCAGGGTTGATTTGGAGCTGGAGCTAAGAGAAAGGAGGGAATGACCAGCTAAGCAGGATCAGAGGCAGCAAGAAATAGAGCCAAAGGCACAGTGCAGGAACTGCCTGGTTGACTTTGCTAGCTGTTGCTATCGCCACTCATGGAGCCCACCATCATGGATGAATTTTGAACAAGAGCAGCTACCTTGGTATTCAGTGAATCAGGGAACTCTGAATGGTTTCTAGTGTGCTGAGAAATCAGTTCTCAACGCTTGGGGCCTGGGCTGATGGGGCAAGTCTAGGTCACGTGTCTGTAATCCAGCTAACTTTGGAGCTCCGGTCAATACTCACACGATGGTGGATCCTCCCCAAATAGAATGGAGTTTAGAGCTGAGCACCTGTACTCCCCCTAAAAGAAAAATGTCCAGAAAAATATTACTCAATCTCTTTTAATTTCTCAATCTGTTAAATAGGGCTAGCCAATTTGAATTTAAGAGGTTGTTTTAAGGATTAAAAAGAGAAATTATATATAATTGTAGTTAGCACATAGCTGTCCTGTCGATTCTTAGTCAGTGGTGACCCCATGTGTGTCAGAGTAGAGCTGTCTTTTATAGGGTTTCAGTGGTTGATTTTTCAGAAGTAGATCTCCAGGCCTTTCTTCTGAAGTGCATCTGGGTGGATTCAAACCTCCAACCTTTTGGTTATTAGCTGAGTGCTTAACTGTTTGTGCCACCCAGAGACTTGAATTAATACATAATCTGTGGTTAATAATCATTAATCTCCTTTGTCAGGGGATTGTATTATAGACTAAAACTATACATCTGGTAAAAAGGTTTTAACTGTAGTTGAAAATTATTTGTCAAGTGGAGAACAATGCTCAAGGTGGAGCAAAAAGCACCAAGACTCATTCTAGGCCTTCTGTAAACACTTAAATATTTCAAGGATGCCTTTGTTTTGGGGATGGAAATAACCGAAATGTCCAACAATAAACCAATGGATAAACAGAATGTGGTACATACAGACAACGGAGTATGACTCCACCAGAAAGAGAGCTGAAGTCCTGATAAACGTTACAACACAGATGAACCTTGAAAACAACATCACGCTGGGTGAAATGTGAGTCACAAAAGGACAAATATTGTGTGATTCCACTTAAATGATATATCTACAATAGGCAAGTGTATACAGACCTAAAGTTATTGGTGGTTTCCAGGGAGGGGAAAAGGGGGACTCACGGCTTAGGAGACACTGAGCTTCTGTTAAGGATGATGGAAAAATTTGGAAATGGATAATGGTCAAAGTCACACATCATGATGAACACAATGTTACTAAATTGTACATATGAAAAATGTTGAAATGGCAAATGTTTTGTTACATATTTACATTTAAAAAAAAAAAAGCCTTTGTTTTGGGGGTGGGAAGAGTATGCCCCCAGGATTTGAATCTTGAAATTTTGAACTTCAGTGAGCTACTTCCAATACTTAGAAAAAGGGAAAATTGTTTTCCCTTCTCCTATGGTGTTTATGGTTATTCAGACAGCTACTTTTAGGAGTGCTCTGTGACCTCTTACTCTCTCAGGAAAGTGCTTTTCTCCTATGCTCCGTGGAGATTTATAAACCTTATTTTTCAGGGTCTGGGTTTTGTAAGATGATGTGTGCATTTTGCTTACTGCTCGTTTTTTCCTTAGGCTACCCTCTTCACGCCCCCGAAGCCTACTTTCCTTATTTCAAAAAGCATAACGTGACTGCAGTTGTGAGGCTGAATAAAAAGATTTATGAGGCGAAGCGCTTCACAGATGCTGGCTTTGAGCACTATGACCTCTTCTTCATAGATGGCAGCACCCCAAGTGATAACATCGTGCGGAGGTTCTTGAACATATGTGAGAACACGGATGGGGCAATCGCGGTTCACTGCAAAGGTGCGTGTGAGAACTCTGTGGTTACCTTGAGTTTGTCTTTCTGAAAGAGGGTGAGCCAAATATAGCAAATCATATAAGACAAAACCACTTAGTGTCTTAGAAGGTTTTTTTATTTCTGAAATTGAAACAGAACAATTTTAATAACTCCTTCCTTAAAGAAATGATAGCTTGAATGTGGACAATGGGTGGTAGTGTGGCTTGCTCGACAAGGCAGTTTTTCTGACCTTACCAAGCCCCTGCCACATGCAAGAAAACAATAACAACAGTGTCCTCAGGCTGCCAGAAACACCTTTAAATAGGTAAATCTGTCAAGAGCTAAGGACTGTTGGTTCCTTTCTTCCTTTTTTTTTTCAGAATTCCTCATCTCCTTTTCATCCTCTTCCTTTTACCCCATCTGATGCTTAAAACGGTTGCTGTCGAGTTGACTCTGACTCGTGTGTCAGAGTAGACCTGTGCTCCTTAGAGTTTTCAGTGGCTGATTTTTCAGAAGTAGATCACCAGTCTTTCTTCTGAGGTGCTCTGGATAGACTCGAACCTCCAGCCTTTTGGTTAGCAGCCAAGCGCGTTAACCATTTGCACCACCCAGGGACTCCATCTGATGTTTAGTGCTCCCATCTTCTGATCCAGCTATGTGGACCCTCATCTCACTCTGCTCCGCCTCTCCCCTAGTAGTCTTTTGTATCTTGGAACAGAGTGTCTTCCCTGCCCGTTGCTAGGGACTACAGCACACTGGGTTGAATGTGTCACTGCCACTTTGAGCTGAAAGACTTGGTTATGTAAATGAATTTCTGCTGGTTGGAAACTTTGAAGCAGGGGTTGTTCAGATTATAGGAGGTATACAGTTGCCACATTTAGCAAATAAAAATACAAGACACCCAATTAAATTTGCATTTTAGGTAAATAATGAATAATTTTTTAGTATAAGTGTTTCAACTATTGGATGGAACTTACATGCATTCTGTATTTTATCTGGCAACCCTATGTTAGTCTGCTAAGAAAATCTGAAAAGGCATTTGCTCTAAGCTTAGTTGTTAAACTCTGAGGAGGCTTAAATTCCATTTTCGATTTTCCAGTATGACAGAAGGTATTTTGCTGGGGTCTTTGATTTCAGCGGTGAGAAATCACTTTGGCCACCTGGGGATGGAGCCTCCAGTTCCTCCCATGCAGCTTTTCTTAATGCCACTAGGTGGTGCTGTTCTCGTGGTTTTGGTTCTGGGAACCAGCTTCTGTAGTGCTTCGTGCTAATTGTCTGGTAGGTGTTGGGGATTGTACCGTTCTTTTCATGTGCCTAGTGCTGCTGGAACTAACTTATTCAAACGAGCTTGGCTTTGGTTCTGACAGAAATTAAAATACCATTTTGTAGGCCCTTGTTTCTATGTTTAAGATGTGAGTAGGTGGAGGTACTTTGCTGAACATGTGAGCAGCTCAGGGAAGCTTCATTTTACCCGAGACCTGGAGAGATGGGAATGAGCAGCACGCGGCCTGACTTCGATGAGGGCTCCTTAAAGCAGGCTTTACCCCCTCCTGACAGAGCCGCCTCCTTCTCCCTCCCCGTTTCCTAGTAGGATGGGGCCCTCATTTTGTGGGACTTGCGATCCCCGTCCACCCGTGGGCTCGGTTAGGAAGGCGTCTCTTTGTCACTCACCACCGTAGGTGCTGCTGTTCAGGTTCTAATCAGGTCACAGTGGGGGTGAGCTGGCTTGTCCCAGGTTAATTCATCGGCACCTCAGTTTGCCTTTCCTTCCCATTTTGCCAGAGATTGCCCGGATCCAAGATAAAGCCTGAATTTCAAATATTTCAAGTATCAGTGGAACTTAAGAGCTAAGGTGAATATGGCAGCTACCAACATTTTGCATTCCTATGCTCTCTTTCCAAGTTTGGTTTTGTGTCATAAAAATCAGTATTTTACTGGGATTAATTTGCCTCATTTATAGGTTAGTTTTATGATTGCCAAATCATACAATTTACCATCTGAGTGTCGTGTCTCGGCTTGACAAATTCCACGGAGAGAGATGCCAGGCGTACGTTAAAACTCAGCATCTTTCTGGATCGTATTCATCACCTAAGAAATGTTGTGAAAATGAAACTTTCTGATGTTAAGCATTCTTGTTACAGGTGTTCTCTGTGTGATATCCTTGACCTGTGAATGTTGACATTTAAAAAATATTTTACATGGCAGAGGTTTTTATATTTTTATTTAAAATCAGAACCTTTAGCATGGAGGTCAGTTCTGGTATAGGAAGATCACATTTAGTTGTAGAGACATCTTTATGAAAGTATTGTTTCATTTGCTTCCACTTGTACACACAGGTAGGATTCCTTTATAAGGATCACACCTTTGATTTAATTATAGCTGTATTGCTTTTAATAGCATAGTTATCTACCATAGGCCTGTTAATTATTTTGACATCTGCCCTAATTAAGTCAGCTTAATTTTCTGGTAATTCAAGCAGCACTGATCACTTTAATTGAACGAAAAGGAAGAGGGAGAGAGAATCTTATCCCTGTCAAATTAACTTTGTTAGCTGCTGGAAAGAGAATGAATAATTGATGCCTCCACAAAAAGTATTATATTCAGAGACAAACTGGAATCTAATTCACTGGGAATTTGTGAGCTCTTACGACGATTCAATAACTGCACCTCACCTTGTGGTTGATAAAAGGGAGGGCTATGAATTCTTGAAATTTTCTAGCACATGTAATAATGATTAAGAGAACGGGAACATTGTGATGTTTCCGTATGTGATTATAGATGTTCTGTAGGGATTTCGGAAACGCTGGTGGTATAGTGGCTAAGAGCTACCGCTGCTAACCAGATATTGGCAGTTCACATCCACCAGGTGCTCTTTGGAAACTCTATGGGGCAGTTCTACTCTGGCCTATAGGGTCACTATGAGTTGGAATCGACTCGACGGCAGCGGTTGGTTTTTTTTTTAATAGGGATTTCAGAAGACACTGGCAACTATAAAGCAATTATTGTTTGACTTAGTATAAATAGAATACTTTTCAACGTCTTGTCGTGCTGTGCCAGGGAGCCCTTTAATTACGAATGCTTTAGATTTTTAAAAAGTTTTTATAGAAACTTAGTGAAATGTTCCTAATCTGTTCAGTTGTGGTATGCGCTCCTAACTATTGAGTGCTAAATACGTTCTTTTTATAGATCTAAATTACAGACTCTGTAAAGAGGTTAATTTCTGTTAAAAGGGGGAAGCGACGTTAGTGTCAGAGAAATTTGAAAGTTTTTCTGCACCACCTTTTTTGGTTGTGAGCATGTATAACTAGGATCCTAGCTGAGGGAGTCAGCCCCTTGCACGCTGAGGGGAGCAGTGAGAGTTACTAGTGTTTTCTCCACAAAGAAGGCCGCTTCTCTCCAGACAGAGACCCAAATCGTTTACTTGAAGGAGGAGGGGCTCTGGAAACCATCTGGGCCCTGGTTCTTGCTCTCGGCCCTCCATCTGTGTTTTATCTACATGGTTACCTATAGTCTTGTTGGATATCTGGGGAGAAACAGAAAGATTACTCTCGACTCTTAGAAATAAAGGAAGAGGCCCACTGAGAACTTAACGAAACTTCACTCTTTTCCAAAGAACGTTGCTGTATGTTCTGATAGAAAAGGTACTTTAGATGAAAACAGGACACACGGACACACACACACACACACACACACGGACACACACACACACACACACACATCTCATCTAATTAAACAGTGTTAATGTATCGTTTTTAAAAAGAAAGGGTTAATGGGAGGGGAATGCCAGGCACCTGGAGCATGTAAATATGCCATATGCATTCTCAGCCCCTGGGGATATTACCCCCCAAAATTGTGTTTGTGTGTGTGTGTGTGTATAAAGCACAGGTATACCTTATTCTTTTTGTGTATAAAGCACAGATATATCTGTAGTACATAAGTGCATATACAGTGTATTTGTGGCATTAAAATTTCAAGGGGGAGATGATTAGGGGAAAAAAGTCTAAAGAGACTCCTGGGGAGGCAATAATGGAAAAAAGGTTGAGAAACATTAATTTAGGGAATTACCTTGTTCACATTGTAACATTTTCTGAAAATTAGGAGGCATCTTAAAATTGATAGCATGTCATGATTTTATTGGTGGCATTTTTTCTTTCCTAGTGGAGCTTAAATAATGGTGTGTATTACAACTGATGATGTCTCAGATGTGCTGAAATATTATGTATTTCCAAGTACTGAGGAGATTAGAGAAGATTCTCTTCACTATTTGACCAGGGAAAGCTGATAAAAAGAAAAGTCCTCCAAAAGCAGGGGATTCTTAAACACATTAAAAAAATGAAGCCATCAACTTCCTCTTTTCCTTTTCTAACTAAGTGAAATCGACATTGTACCAGCTTCTCAGGCCAGAACTATCAGTAATCTTTAACTTTCCCTGTGACACAATCAACGTATATTTCTAATTCAGCTCTTCCTCTCGATTGCCACTGACCACCCTCATCCCACTCAGCCACCGCTGCTTTCCCGCGCCAGCCTTCCAGCTCATTCATCTCTCTGGTTCTGTCTCTGTCCTTTCATTCTAACAGGTACACTGCTGCCAGATGCATCTGCTCTTATCATGTCATTTTCTTGCCCCCAAACACACGGCAGCCTCATTTTTGCCCTTTTCATTGGTTAAAGAAAAACACAGATATTTATGTGACAGTAGTTACATGTTTATTAGCTGTTGATCACATCACGAATTTGGGCTTTATTCATCAAAGCATCATCTACATATATTTGAGAAGTAATAATACACATGTTTAGGAGACATGATTTAGTCAGTCCTCAGAGCACCATGCCTCTGGATTTGGGGACTCCTAACAATAACTTGGGAGCCCTGGTGGCCTAGTAGTTAAGAGCTTGGCTGCTAACCAAAAGGTTGGTAGTTCAAATCCACCAGCCACTGCTTGGAAACCGTATGAGGCAGTTCTGCTCTGTCCCATAGGGTCACTCTGAGTCGGAACTGACTCGATGGCCCCTAACAGCCACA